AGGAGGAGGAGGAGGCGAAGGCGGCCGGGAGGACTCCTGAGGAACTTGCCCAAAAGGAAGAAGAAGAAGCCAAAGGGAACTTGCTTTCGTTGTGCCAACGCCCAGGTAAGTAAGTGCACTGCTGGGGCTCTGCAACGAGGGATGGGGGCCTCTCTCCTGCTCCCCTCCTCCGCCCCAATCCCCTTTTCTTTCTGCTGGGCTCCTGGCATTACCCCCAAAAACCCGTTCTCTGGGAGTTTCCCCCTAGGGCAGGGGTAGGCAACCTTTCCCCTTTAAGGGCCGAGGGACTTCAGCTCCCAGAATCCCAGGAGCTATTGGCCAACATGGGACTATTGGCCAGCATGGCTGAGGCTTCTGGGAGCTGAAGTCCCTCGGCCCTTAAAGGGGAAAGGTTGCCTACCCCTGCCCTAGGGTGTGTGTGTATACACACACACACACACACACACACACACACACACACATATAGAGTTCTCCTCTATATATGTATGTCAAAGTACTTGTGACAGTAATTCAGTAGTTCAGTAATGTTCAGTAGTTTAGTAGCAAACTTTTCCAAGTAGTTCAGTAACGTTCAGTAGTTCACCAACAAACTTTCCCAAGCAGTTCAGTAGTTCAATAACCTTCAGTTGTTCAGTAACAGACTTTCCAAAGTAGTTCAGTAACATTCAGTAGTTCAGTAACAGACTTTCCCAAGCAGTTCAGTAGTTCAGTAAAGTCCTGTAGTTCAGTAACAGACTTTCCCAAGTACTTCAGTAACTTAGTAGTTCAGTAACAAACTTTTCCAAGTAGTTCAGTAATGTGTAGTAGTAGTTCAGTAACACCCAGTAGTTCAATAACAGACTTTCCCAAGTAGTTCAGTAACAAACTTTCCCAAGTAGCCCCAATCTCCAAAAGGGAATAAAAATCTTTTGGATAGTATTGACAGTAATTACTGTCAGTACTCAGTAGTTCACTTACTTAGAGTAGTTCAGTAGCCCAGCTTGAAACTGAAGCAAGCCTTCCCAAGTAGCTTGAATCCTCCAATTCCAAAAAGGAATAAAAATCCTAATCGGACAATACTGGCAGTAGTTAGTGTCAGTAGTTCAGTTACTGAGAGTAGTTCAGTAGCTCAGTAACGTCCAGATCGAAAAGGAAACACGTTTCCCCCAAGTAGTCTGAATTTCCAAAAGGGAATAAAAATCCTTCAGACTGTCATCAAGAGCTGAACTACTTACTGTCAGAGAGGACTATTAGCCTAGCTTGCCCTGGTTCACTTCCATTCCCCCCTCCCCACTCTTCCCTCACATCTATTTGGTGCCAGGCATTAAATTCCTAAAAGACAGATCCTGGACCTACTCTTAGCCAAATGTAGGGAAATGGGATTGCTTGCCTTAAGAACTCTGAGTATGCTTTAGAGCAGGGGTAGGCAACCTAAGGCCCGGGGGCCGGATGCGGCCCCTCGAGGCCTTTGGACCGGCCCCAGGCTGGTCCTGCCACTGCCGCTGCCCCTCGCCATGATGATATTGATTATTGTTGTTATTACTTGTTCTTGGGGTTTTCTTGGCAAAATCTCCACAGGGGTTTTGCCATGGCTTTTCTGGGGCTGAGAGTGTGCATGCATATTTTTTTTTAAAATTTATTTATTTATTTATTTATTTATTTATTTTTGGTGCTTTGGCCTCCCAACTGTCTGAGGGACAGCAACCCGGCCCCCAGCTCAAAAAGGTTGCCTATCCCTGCTTTAGAGCACTGTTGTGTCCTCACACTTTTCAGGACTTAAGCAAGAGGTTGGGATATTCTGTGGCACAGCCTTGGCACACATTTAGATGTCCATCTAGCTCAGTGGTTCCCAAACTTTGGTCCACCAGTTGTTTTGGACTTTAACTTCCAGAAGTCCTAGCCAGCCTGGCCAATAGCCAGGAATTCTGGGAGTTGAAGTCCAAAACATCAGGAGGGCCAAAGTTTGAGAACCACTGAATTTCTAGCTGTTCTTCCCTCTCTGCTGCCCCAATGGCCTGAGAGGAAGAAAGATCTGCAGGTGTTATTGTGGGGCAAGAGATTGGCATGGCTTCTCTGCTGCTGGGTAGATGGATGCCCCATTCCCAGAGCTTGGAAAATTTCCTTTTTTGGATCTACAGTTCCCAGAAGTTCTCCTCCAACCTTGTGTATGTATTGTGTGCCTTGAAATCCTTTCTAAGGTGAACCTATCATGGGGTTTTCTTGGCAATTTTCTTCAGAGGGGGTTTGCCATTGCCCCTCCTCTAAGGCTGAGAAAATATGACTTGCTCAAGGCCACACAGTGGTTTTACATGGCCAAGCCAGGATTTGAGCCCTGCTCTCCAACCATAGTCTAATAATAATAATAATAATAATAATAATAGAAATCAGTGTGATGTAGTGGTTTGAATGTTGGACGGTGACTCTGGAGACTAGGGTTTGAATCCTGGCTCGGCCATGGAAACCCATAGGGTGACCTTGGGCAAGTGATGCTCTCTCAGCCTCAGAGGGTGGCAGTGTGACAAACCCTCTCTGAAGAAACTTGCAAAAAAAAAAAAACAACAACAACAAACATGAGAAGTTCACTTTAGGGGGTCGCCATAAGTCAGAAAGGTCTTGAAGACACACAACGACAATAACAATAATAGATAGAAATTCTGGGAATTGTAATGTAAAAAGGTTATTTTTTTATTTTTATTTTTTTGCAGGCACGGCAAATTCCCAGTTTGAGGTATAGGAGATGTATGAGAGCTTGCTAAGTTAACTTACACAAGAGTGCCAGCTTTGTTCCCCTGGGCTTGGTCTCTTCTTGGGTGTGGTGCTGAGCCCCGCTGCCTGTCTCCCCATGTGCTTTGTTCACATCATGTGCCCTGGCCTAAGTCCAGATCCCTACACCATCCAAAATAGAGGCAGATGGCCCCAGACAAAGGTGCCATCTTAGTTGTGCCACTGTCTGCTAAGTGAAAAACTCCCTAGGGGGTTTGCTTGGCAAGTACCCTCTGGTGCCAGGCAGATGTCCCTTTATTTTCTCAGACTTATAATTTGATCTGTCTTATCTTGCCTGTATTTGTTGAAGGGTGTTTTCCTTCAACCGCCTGAACTTCAGCATTAATATTCAAACTGTAGTTATTAATATTGTAGAGCCAGTGTAGTGTAGTGGTTTGAGTGTTGGGCTAGGACTCTGGAGATCAGGGTTTGATTCCCTGTTTGGTCATGGAAATCTACTGGGTGACCTCAGGTGAGGCACACTTTCTCAGCACCAGAAAACCCAGTGATAGCCTTAGGGTTGCCATAAGTTGGAAATAGTTTGAAGGCACAGAAGAACAACACGGTTTAATTTTGACTTCTGCATCAGTTAAGTTTCTGTGTGTTCCCTTTCTGATTTGGGAATTTTACTGAAGAGCACTTTTGATAAAGTGATAAGATTCTTGTACCATGAGAGAGGCCTAATTATCCTAAAGGCACCAGATCCCATATGATCTTGGAAGCTAAGCAGGCTCAGCCCTGGTTCATATGTGGATGGGAGACTGTCAATGAACACCAGGTGCTGTAAGCTATATTTCAGAGGAAAGATCTGGCAGAGCCATCTGTCTCAGAAAATCCTGTCAATTCATGGGGTCGACGGTTGACTTGAAGGTTCATGCACGCACGCACACACCCATGAGAAAAGTGTGCTTTTAGGTGGGGGATAGGCACACTAGAGTAAAAACTGAAGAGTTATTGTATATAAGATACAATTGGCAGCAGATGTTGCATGTTTTGTGGTTGCATAGCAAACAACACCTGCTGAAATTCCCTCTTTTATACAGTCATCAGAGATACAGGAACTCTCCAGTTTTCAGTTTGGCAACCCTAGTGGAGAATGGGTTATGATGTACAGCACAGGCCATTTTGTCAGGCAGCCACCTCAAGTAGCTGGCAGTGCTTCGAGAACAGCTATAGTATGCCTCACACCCTGCCCTGAAGCACACAAGCGAAGCAGCTCTTCTCGGATGGAGAAATGGGCATGGTACTAGAGATGGTGGCAGTCTGTTTTTCCACTGTTAATGGGCAAAGAGGACCAAAGAACCCCCACTCCCCCAACTTGAGTGAAACTTTGCCTAAGTGCCATCGTTGTATCAAGAGCTGAGGAGCAAGTGGATTTCCTCAAGGAAGTGGAGGAAGCTTGGCAGAAATTTGCACAAACTCATGCTGATGTAAACACAGTGACACAATGGGTGGGGCAAGAGAGTTGAGTCAGCTTCTCTGACATTACTCTGCTGACATTACCTCTTCTGTTTCTTGGACTTTCCACATACATCATCTGAAGGGACCAATTCATTTTATTTATTCTGCTTCCTGACCACTCCAACCTCATGCTTCTACCACTGCTATTTTTTCTTTTCCTTTTCCTGCTTTAACCTTCTGTTTCCATGCTTTTGTCTAGTTATTTCTCTTAAGCACTGAAGTTTGCTTCCATCTTCAGCTGAGATTCTTGGTGTTCATACCCAATCCCATCCTTGGATTCCCCTATGTGATACCATTGCTTCGATCATGCGCAAAGTGAAGCTCCAATTCTGTCTACACTTACCTGGAAGTGAGTGCCATGGAACTTAGTGGGATCTGTTTCAGAGTGGACATGTGTTTTACATGACTGCAGTCAAACCTCTTCAAACTCTTCCATATACATACTAGAGTGGGTGGCTTTCCTGCCTTTTATCCCCATGTACTTTGCTGTAGTTTGGCACTTGTTGGCATGCATTGTTGTTGTTAACTGGCATCAAGTCAACCTTGACTAATGGTAACTGTATGAATAAGAGCTCTCCAGGTCACCCTGACAGCCTTGCTCAGACTTGCAGACCAAGGGTTGTGGCTTTGTTGATTGAGTCTATCCATCTATAATGTGTCCTTCCACTTTTCCTGCTGCCTTCTACCTTACCAAACATTCTTGTCTTTTCTAGTGAGTCATGTCTTATGATATGTCCAAAGTACAACAGTCTCGGTTTAGTCATCTTGGCTTCTAGGAAGAGTTCAGGCTTGTTTTGCTCTAGGATCCATTGATTTGTGTGGTGCTTTTTTTTAGCAGTCCACAGTATTTGCAGAACTCTTCTCCAGCCTACATCTCAAATGAGTGATTTTCTTCCTGTCAGCTTTCTTCACTGTCCAGCTTTCACACAGAAATGGGAAATATGATGGTATGGACCATCCTAACTTTGGTATTCAATGATATATCTTGACACTTCAGGAGCTTGTCTAGTTCCTTTCTAGCTGCCCTTCCAAATCCTAGTCTTCCTCTGATTTTTTTGACTGCAATCTCCAATCTAGTTAATGACTGAGCCAAAGTATGGAAAATCTTTAACTATTTCCATGTCTTCATCATCTACTTTAAAGTGATACAAATAATCTGTAGTCCTTTTTGTTGTTGTTTCTTAATGTTCAACTGTAAACCTGCCTTTGCACTTTCTTCCTTAACTTTCTTCAGTAATAGTTCCAAGTGTTTGGTATTTTCTGCTAGTAGTAGCATGGTGTCATCTGCATAAATTAAGATTGTTGATGTTCTTTCCTCCAATTTTCATGCCTTCTTCTTCCAAGCCTAATCCTGCTTTATGTATGATATGTTCAGTGTACAAGTTGAACTGATAGGGTGATAAAATGAAGCCTTCATTCCGTTTTTCCATATTCTGTCCTGACAGTAGCCTTTTGTCCTGAGTACAGGTTATGTATACATTGGATAATCAAATGTTGTTGCACATCTATTTCTTTGAGAGTGATTCATAGTTGTTCGTGATCTATAGGCTTTGCTATAATCCAGGGGCCGGCAACCTATGGCCCCCAGGCTGGTTCCAGCCCAGGTCGCTGGACTTACTGGCCCAGGCGGACCCCTGCCGCCGCCGCCACGTGTTTTGGCCTCCGTGCGGCCGCAACTCGTTTGTGCATGTGCAGTACTCCTGCACATGCGCAAACGCGTCACGGACGCCATTTTGGAAATCAAAATGGCGGCCATGGCATGTGTGGTGGCGGTGGTGGCGGCAGTGCGCGCGGGGGGTTGCACCCGGTGGGGGGTGCGCACATGCGTGTGAGGACGCGCACCGCCATTACCCCCCACCACCTCAGCCCGGCAGAGAGGAGGACTTCGGGGGACCAGCCCAGGGCTCAAAAAGGTTGCCTACCCCTGCTATAATCTATAAAACAGAGGCTGATTTTCTACTGTAGTTCTTTGGTGTGCTCCATCAACCAACATATGTTTGCAATATGGTCTCTACTGCCCTTTCCTTTCCTGAACCCAGCTTGGACATCTTGCATTTTTCACTCTGTATATGGTAAAAGTCTTTGCTGTAGAATTTTCAGCATCATTTGGCTTGCATGGAAAATTCATGCAGTGTGGTCCTGTGGTTACTGCAATTGCTGGTTTCCATTTTCATGGGGATTGAAATGTATACAGATAGTTTCCAATCTGTGGCCCATTTTTAAATATGCCTCCTTCTACACCAGGGATAGGCAACCTTTCCCCTTTAAGGGCCAAGGGACTTCAGCTCCCAGAATCCCAGGAGCTATTGGCCAACATGGGACTATTGGCCAACATGGCTGAGGCTTCTGGGAGCTGAAGTCCCTCGGCCCTTAAAGGGGAAAAGTTGCCTACCCCTGTTCTACACAGTACTAACAGGTGTTAGTAGCTATGTTGCCACAGCCACTGTCTCTGAGAGCTCCTTCACTAATGTCACCCTTTACTGCTTCTGCTGCCCAGCAGCTGTTTGGCACATTTAGTCTGGCTTCTGAGCCAAAACCTAACCTGCATAGGAGTCCCTACCAGCAGCACTGATACTGACAGCATAGCATCATATTATCTACTTTTGATTGGCAGTTGCGGTTGGTTGCTCTAATGTCAGTGAGACTGAATCAGTTCTGGGGTTTAGTCTGAACTTCAAAGGAGCTATCCACAATACTGTATCTCACCCCCAAAATGGATTTGTGACCTTGAAAAGTCAGAACCAATACATAATAACTATTCAGGGTTTTAAAAATGACATAATACATTGGACTACTTTATACATTCTATCTTGATGTTATATTCTGCTCCTTTGGTCCTTGTTTTATTCTATTACTGTTGTGTTTTATATTTTTAATAGTGTATGCTGCCCAGAGAACTTTGGTTAGTTAGTAGTTTTAAAAGTTACTAAATACTTGATACACAGTACTTAACATGTGTACCTCTGGATGTAGTCTGATTTAAAGAATCTCAAATGCAAGCCAACAGGGCAGAGATATCATAAGGCAGAATGAAATGTTTGTCTTGGGCAAAAGGTGTTGGAAAGTGGCATCAATGTGTTGAAAGAGAGGGCGATGTGCCATACAACATGTACTGCTCCCCTTAAGTAAGGCTACTTTAGGTGTGGTGAGGGATGCTGTTCCATCTCCAATGTTGAAAAAAGATTCCATTGTTAGCCAGGTTGGTTTTTGAACATGCACTTGATGTCATCCTGTTCATTGTTCAGGTTACAGATGTCTTGGGCTAGTTCTGAAGCCAAAGCCAAAGTCTAAATGAAATTGCTTTGTACTGATTTTAAGGTTGCTCTCAGTACTGGCAGTGCTGGTTTGTCAGCTAACCTGGATGTGCCCTCAATGTCAGCTTGTCCTAAAGCAGGGATAGGCAACCTAAGGCCTGGGGGCCGGATGCAGCCCCCCAAGGCCTTTGGACCAGCCCCAGGCCGGTCCTGCCGCCGCCGTCACCATCCCCCACCGCCGCCTGCCATGATGATATTGATTATTGTTGTTATTACTTGTTCTTGAGGTTTTCTTGGCAAAATCTCTTCAGGGGTTTTGCCGTGGCTTTTCTGGCATGAGAGAGTGTGCATGCATATTTTTTAAATTTTTTAATTTTTTTAAAAAAATATTTTAATATTTATTTATTTAATTAATTAATTTTTGGTGTTTTGGCCCCCCAATTGTCTGAGGAACAGCAGCCTGGCCCCCGGCTCAAAAAGGTTGCCTACCCCTACCCTAAAGAAATCAATCAAAGCAGCGGAGCAATGATAATTAGAGATATACTGTGATATATACTTGGTAACAAAAAACTAAAGCAAGACCATTGAGAAATGAGAGTATTAGTATCCTTGGAGGGAATGCCAAAGTTTTTAGAAATTAAAAAAAAAATGAGGGGGTGGGAGAATCAAGGGAACAAACCTCCACAAAACAAGCCATTGGAGACTTGGTGTGTTCAATAGTTGCAAGATGCCC